CGAAGATGGAGCTGGAGCTATGGCGCCACAGGTAAGTCTCGCTGGCCTCCGCCAGCCATCTCTCTCCAACACTACTACCACTACCACTACTTAGCACCCTGCGCTGAAGACTACTCCTACAGCTACTAGCGCCCAGCGTTGAAGACTACTGCTAGCGCTAAGCTACTACTGCAGCGCTCCTCCTGAGTGCTGCTGCCAAATCCTGAAGACTGCCTCCTGCCTTCTGTCCAACTACCTACCCGTGAAGTGCATGGGAACTCCCTATGTACTACTCGGCCTGCCTCCTGACTGCAGGGCGAGGCAGTCCAGGAGGCTGCTCTTGCCAATGCCGAAGGGAGTCAGGGGCTGCCGCTGCAGCTCCTGCTGAGGCTGTCGTGGGAACAGGCCAGAAATAGCCTGTTCCCGAAACCCTGGTTTTGTGCCTGAGTGTTAGGGCAGGTCGATCTTATGAGGGCCCGAAAGTGGCCCTCCGTTTCAGGCTGAAAAGCCCTGTTTTAGGCTGAAACGACATAGGGCCTGCAGGCCCTCGTTTTCAGTCTTTCAGGCTGAAATGACACGGGGCCTGTAAGCCCTTATTTCTAGGTTTTTAGGCTGAGAATGCGGGACGGGCCCTGCAGGCCGGTGTGGCTACGCAGTATGCCACAGTATGGGAACAACGTACCTGAAGATTGCTGCCCCCAACCACAGATTTCTCACCAATTGAGCCGGCATGCACTTTGATGACCGGTCATAGCCTCGGTACCACACACGACAGAACGGAGTGCCACCTCAGCCAAAATGCCATGTCAGCATGCTCTCATCATTCCACATACATCCACCGTCGCCATAGCAAACAATGCTGTCGCCACAACCTTCCGGTCCCAATCCCCTCTACCCGAGCTGGACCAATACAGCCAGTGTCAAAGTATCCTCACTGCGTAGAAGCTTCGTCGGCGCACCAAGTAACCAAGACCCCAGGGCCAGTGGTCGGTGACCTACGAACCAGCTCTGATAACAAATTGCAAGGAATATGAGTGAGAGCCATAGACAGAAGTCCAGCTTCCAAAATCACGAGGTAGCCCAGATAGTCATGTACCAAGCAGAGAGCACAACGCACCAAGGTACCATCCAAATCAGAGCTATACAATGAACTCATATGTCAATGTCCATGCTCTTGGTCTCATCAACACAGTATCCAATGTCGCTCCTACTGGCGCCCAGCGCCCAGCCTACACTACTCAGCCTATCTATGCCTATCTATGTTCATGCAACTGGATCACATGGAAGTCAAAGACCAATGTACGTGACGTCATCACCAATTCAGACCGCCAGCATACACCAGGTACGTTCTCTCTCCTCTCACATCCCCCCTTGACTTCCCACAGTGTGCATCCCCGACACCCAAGGACCACCATCACCATCACCAGMCTCCGCTGAGCAAGCCCGGCTATGGCTGCTCAGCGCCCGCTGCGCCAGCAGCGCCCAACACCACAATGCGCCCGTGTGCGCTTCTTCCTGCCCTTGGCCTACCAGCTGCCTCCCCCCAGCGCTCAAACCAGCAGCCTGCCGCCAGCAAGCACACAGCCAGAATCCCCTCTGGCTTCTGTGCTAACTTTCCTTTATGGAAAGTGAGCTCTGCTTTGTCGAGCTCTGGGCCTGGTTGGACGAGTTTCCAGTAGCTTCCAGTCCGGCCCCAGTGTCTGCTATTACAGCCTGGGCCCCAGTTGCTGTTACGGGCCTGGGCCCCTTTACAGTTGGCCACACCCAGGTAGCCCACGAGGCTACAAGTGTCCGCCATGATCTCATTGGCTGCTGGCCAGTGTGTGACGAAGATGCTGCATTCTCATTGGCCCGCAGGCGTTCTGTGATGTGACAGCCTCTGGTGGCTCACGCCCAGGGCATCAACTGTGCGTGCCCTGGGCTCAACTGCCTCTCCAGCTGGTACTGCCGGAATGAGCCAAGAAAAAGGCTCGCGTTACTCTGTAACCAACTGGTTTGCTGCAACTGTCTGATACCAGACATGCAGAATTGACAAAGGCCTCTCCTAAATATTCTGGCCTGCCTTCACTTAGGGCGGGCACAAGTTTGTACCGGGCCTCAGCCGAGATGTGGGGTGAGTCCTAGAAGGGCCACTGCGAAGATTCAGGCCCGCATATAGATTCCAACAGCCCTTTAGCATGATCACACTGGCCTGTACCCAGGCCTTGGCACATATTAGCAGACCCGCCTTCACTTCGAGGCGGGCAAGGCCTTTTCCAGCTTTGCCAAGGGCTCAAATCCTCGCACTGTTATATTTTCTCTCTTAAATTCTTGTTTCTTTCTTTTTTTGCTTTCAGACTGACGATTCGGGCCTTGTGTGTTTCAAGGTTTTCGGCCATTTTCGGGGTTTAGCCCTGCCTGGATCATCGAATGGGATGTCAAAACTCATGCAAACATTCTGGGGGTGGCTACCTGGGAAAACTGGGCATCCCAGGCGCCCACCTCCTTTTTGAGGGTCGTTTTTTTTTTTGTTTCGTTGGGGAGTGCCTCCTCAGGACCACCCATCCGCACTCACGAGACCCGGACATCTGGATCGGGCCTGGATGGCTTTCCAAGCGTCCAGATGGCAACCCCCTGCATCTGCCATCATTTCATCTTAGCTCCGAAGTATACTTCTGTTCAGAGACACCAATGGCAGCCACTTTCTGAGTGGCACTAGATGGAGGATGCCTATCACTTCTACTTGATGGTGTCTGTCACTTATACTTGATGACAGTACAGCACACAGGTTTGTCAAGAAACAGCGATGCCATGGAAAGGGAGGGAGGGATGTGCCTAGGGGAGAAGGGGAAATTCACTGATATTTAAGGGGTTGGGCGGACTTGGGAAGAAAAGGGAGAGCTGCTAGGCTGCTAGGCCGTAACTCATCCTGTTCGGTCATCACCCAGTAAAAGAGTAAAAGTGATCCTGTTCTATCAAGGTGGCCTAAGCGACGCACTGCAGCCAACTTCTCATGCAGAGGCAGAGAGAGAAGAGGTTCTCTGGAGAGGATACAGGTGCCTTTTTGTGATGTAAAAGAAAGCACTGAGAAACAGCATCAACGATTGGCAATGAACAAATAAAGGATTGCCAAACAATGAACAACCAAAAAGGATTACCAGACAATTGAAATACCGCCTATATACTATCCGGACATTCTGCACAGCAAAATCCTCTGGCAAATGGAGAGGCAATCGGTAGATATACAGAGGAGAGGACAATTATTAATGCATAGTGCACATACGATTCTCCCAGAATGGCTAGGTTGTTTGTTGGTCAGGATCACCTGGGTAAGCCCAAGAAGAGGTAAAACTGCATCCCTGTATTCCTCCGCAGCATTGCTGATCACGCCAGTCACTAGTCCCTTTGACCTCACCCATCGCAGAAACGGTGCTGAGTCTGGAAAAGCTTCATATGCAGCTTTTGATCCAAACATCGCATATATCCTCTTGAAGATTTTGCTAAAAGATACCTGGTCATACTCATACCCTGCCTCTCTGAAGGAGTTCTTGACAACTGCATGCCACCACTCCATTGTCGGCATGGTTTTGTACCCAAAACAGGGGTATCGCGTGGAGTAATCCTTGTATGCACGCTGGAAACCTTGATGCATCCTCTCGTAATCGGGGCATGGCTTTCCTATTGCTGTTGCAGCTCCGCAGTAAAAGTCACCAATGTGACCACTGTACCGGATGAGTGTGCCTGTAGCATCGACGGTGATGCACCTCAACTTGGTTGCCAAAGATGCTACGGGCATTGTCAGTGGCCGACGTGGCCCTTCGTCCAACTCCTCCACCAGCTCCTCGCGGTCTTCCACCGCGGAAGACTTGTCCGAAGTCATTCAATGCAGGTTGACCTGTCACCCACAGCCTCCATGGAACCATTGTCCACATCATTCCATATCATTCTGTCAGTGCACCAGTTCGCACACACACAAACACACGCGCACCCCCCCCCCCCCCCCCCCTCATTTACAGAAGCTCACAAAAACTCTTCCATGTTCACACAGTGTAAACAACAAAAGAAAGAACAGTCATCAGACATGCATCATCACTGCCAAGACAAGAGCCAGAGAACGGACATCATCATGAAACGGTTCTCACCTTTGAGGTAACAGATGCAGATCCCAGGGCTCGATCCCTAGACCTTACCTCGCCCATGTACAGTACTAGGTAGACCCCTGTGTGTTTTGAACCCGTGACCTTTGTTTTGGTAGCTGACTATTGTCTATCGCAGGTCCGTGTAGTTGTTGGGTCTTGAACTGTAGGTCTGTCGAGTAGAGGTCATAGCTGTGTAGGGGTCGTAGTTGTTGCAACTCTGAAAGGTCAAGGTCGTAGCTGCTACAGTCCTGAAAGGTCAAGGTCGTAGCTGCTACAGTCCCGAAAGGCCAAGTCCACAGACTTCCGAACGGTCCCGAACTGGCCTTTCGAGTGGTGTTCACGTTAGACCAGAGGCAAGTGGGCAAGTGGGTAGTCCAACTTTGCTTAGTCAGCGGTACCCAGTCCCAGTCTCACTTTGTCCACTCAGCAAATACCATGTGGGACTGTGTGCACCATGGGCCCGGTGGAAAGGGGCAGACCAGCAACCAACAGAAGTATAAATCAAGAGGCAGCGGAAGTATAAAAATCAAGAGGCAGCGTCCAGCCTTTCATTCATTCTGCGTGAGCCATGCGGAAGCGCTGCCCAGGCGTCTTGTGCGAGGTGGTCTGCAGATGCCCGAAGTCGAAGTGGGCTGACAGGGAGATAGAGCAGCCATCGCTGCTCGTAGTTAGTGTTAGAAGGCGGTCATAGCTGTAGTAGGAGTTGGGTGGGATATTCAGGGAGGCAAGGACGGCTCATCCTCTGTGTCGCCTTCCACGTCATCCATGTCGTCTCCATCGGCCGCACCATCTCCATAGTCATCATCTTCTACTTCACGCTCCCCGTCACTCGTTGCCCGCATTGTCGAAACTCAAGCAATGATTCTCTCCACACAGCGCGTCGTTGATGGCAAGACCGCCCGGTTTGTTGCACCCCCGCAGCCGCACCTGATGGACCCCCGACCGCTGGACTGAACTCCGACTGCTGGCCATAGCCGCCTCTTTACGCAGTCGTAGCCGGTCCTGCATGGCTCGCATGACTGCGACTGCTGCGACCTCCCTGCACACCAATCGATGCATCACCGGTAGATTGGCTGATCGACGAGAATAGTGCGCGTGACTTCTCTTTGGCACCCGGAGGATAATTGAAGATCCAACGGCGGGCACATCCCATGTCGGCCGTCAGAATACATGAGCCATTTCATCGCGCCCTCGCTGGCAGCACCCCGCATCACTGTCTGTGCACCCTCCGACATTGAATGAGGGGATCCGTACACTAATGGCAACGTGGCAGAGGGGGGCGCCCAAGTGTCGTCATGTGGCGGGGCTGCTGATGGGGTGGCAGATGGGCGTAAAGACTTGGGTCGAACCGGGGTGGGGCTTCGTTCCCATCACTGAACATCGGCCATGCTCCCCTGTGGTACGTGTACCTCTCATGACCGTTCGCACCTGCCATGATTGTTGTCGGCTTCCTATGCGATGTCGTGTTCTACAACCTCCACTTGTTTGTCCTCGCACGACCGCGCAGCAAACCAGACAGGTGCAAGAGGACGATGACCACAAGGACCAGCAAGACGACACACAAAACGACAATCTTCTCGAGATGGTCTGCCATGAAACGAGACGTCACGGACATGGCGGCAACCTACGAAGGCGACAAGCGTGCTCTGAAGGCGACGAAGAGCACGACATTGGTGCAGAACGCCATACATTACAACACGGTTGACGCGCATGTCATGTACGACATCACACACACAGGCAAACGCAGGGAATGGAGCCAACCACCGACCATTCAAATTTGAACTGCCCTGACCAGACACCCTCCCGCCCCCCAACCCACCCTCCACCCCCGCTGCAGCCCACTGCCCACCTCCAACGGTCAGTCCGCTCAACGACCATTCCCCCCCCCCCCAATTGAGCACGAGCCACTCTCCAACGTGGACGATACCGCTGCCAACGAGCGGTTGAGAGGCCTGCCGGATGGCTGGACCAACCGGTAGACCTGGAACGGTCCACCAAAAAAAAAGAAAAAAATTATCACCGCCGATGTTGGAGCCACCATCCACTCGCACTTGAACTCAAGGCTCCCCAGAGAGGTACCTTGAGCTCAAGTGCGAATTTGCCCCAGCGGCACTTGAGTTTCGAGGGCTAGCACTAGAGAGCCGGAAGTAAAAACAACTCCGTGGCCAGGTTAGGGTGGGGTCGAACGAAGAATGTTCCTTCAAACCGTGAGTTCAAAGTGGTGTCGAACGAGGCTCATAGGCTGCAAGCTTCGGACCGTTGAGCTAGCTGAGACAAAAAAACGAGTCAGCTTGCCCAACGAGAAAGGGCAAGGGTAGGGGACGTTGTATTCGAGATCAGCTATTTTTCCAAGGTTTCTCTGAAACGAAAAGAGGCCTTTTCGTTGGGCATACACACCTCATATAAATCAACCGTGCTATCTTAAAACACCAGTACACGCCCCCAGACGTGCACTAAAGTAAACTTGTCGCCACAAGAGAAATTCGAGGCTCGGGGCCGGCCTGGTGAAGCGACAGGCAAGTAGGCTTGTGGGCCCATCGAAAACGGGCAACTTTACTAAAGCTTTCCTGCTTGTCCTGTCTGCCCGTGCATTTCCACATTCACGTACAGAGCCAGCATCGCTGGCACGAGGATAACAACAAAGAAAAAGCGAAAAAAAACAAAAAAAACAAAAAAAAACAAGAAGCATTGGGCCTGGCAGCACAAAAGACAAAAAAGGTGGCAATGTACTTTTCGTTTTCTGGGTTTCCTTTGGATGGATTTCCCCACATTCCTGGTCCATATTCGAGGGAACTCAAAGAGTCTTTCTGTTTTAGGTGCCCAGCCAGCACGGCAGGGCGTCTTTTTTTTCCTTTTTTTTTAAAAAAACAAGCTATATTCTTCTCTCAATTTCACCACACACTACCTACCTACCACTACTAATTGTAGGAATACGGGGAACCCCGTAGCAGCCAGAACCGTGTTCACGAGAGAACATGCGGGGGCTACTCCCGMCCTGCAGGTGGGCGATACCGGCTAGGGGACAGCCGGTAGCATCAGGGACCATGCCAACAGGACCAATCCCTGTGCCTCCCCTCAGGTCCCCTCCCCTATGAACATCAGSAGACTCTGCTAAATGCCAATTGGGGGATCCAGTGGTCTATCTCTAGGTGGCAGGCGCCAAGCATGCCCAGGAAGATACATGAGGCCAATGGGGATTGAACCCACGACCTCCTGAATGCCACTTGCGAGCCTTACCAACTGAGTTAGGCCGCTGGATAGGGCGTTTTTCAACTGTTCCTGGTAGCCCCTTCCTCTCGGTGCATGTATCTACTGCCTAAAGCAGTCTTTATGCATCGAGGGGCATGCCCCTGGGGGCAAGCAGCCCCCAACCAGTTACTGGCCGGACTGCCAGCGAAATAAGTGGAGATACGTGCCCTGAAAGTAGGACCATTGTTTTGCTTTTTTTTCCATGAATCTTTTACCGTTTTGGGGTAGATACAGGCGCATTCCTTTGAGGGTGAATGGGATGTATCCTACTGCTATTGCCGCCAACCTCAGCAGAAAACATCAGAGTTCCCTTTTTTTTTTTTTTTTCTTCTTCTTCATAGTTGCTGTATCTCTTTGGAACCACCTATATCTGGTGCTCGAATTCCGCCAGGTACACGGGCTGGCTTTGTGGAGGGTTTGGCTGCGGTGGCACACCAGTGAAATCGACAGCCTTCCAGTGTCAAACTACAGTGGCGGGTACTGGCGCCACCGTTTATGTTCCAAGTAGCGGTATCGATCTCTTTTAGGCTCGGCAAAATTCACATTTAGGCTCGTACATTTAGCCTCGGATGTACTGGTGTTTTAAGGAGATCTTGCATCTTACGCGTCTCATGGTTGAAAACCCCAACGAGAAGCTGGCTTAACGACGCTGGTGGGACAAGGCCCCGGGCAGAGGAGGATTTAGGGAAACCGTTTTTTCGCCGCAGAATCATAGGGGAGAAAAAACGGATTCGGTCAGCCTTATAGGGGCGAAAGCAATTGGGAGTTGTGGAGTGAACTCGATGGACTGGGTATCCCTCCACTACTCACCGCATGCAGAAAAGACAAAATATATGGCGGTGTATTCGCTATCATTTTGCACATTTGGTGAGTAGTGGAGCGAGGCCCTTTGATTGGTTACTCTATATCTTCCGCGACATCTGGATTTCTTTGGGTGAGTTTGGAACTTTTTCAGTGAACTTGAGAAGAACAGCCCGTTCAGGAGGTCCAGGGTTCAATTCCCATTAGCCTCATGTACCTTCCTGGGCAAGCTTGGCGCCCACCACCTAGAGATAGGCTGTTGATCCCCCAGGGTGGCATTTAGCAGAGACTGCTGATGTTCATAGGTAGCAGAGACTGCTGATGTCCATAGCGGGAGGGGACCGGAGGGAAGGCACAGCGATTGGCCCATCGAAGAAGCTCGGTCCTGATGCTACCAGCTGACCCCTGGCCAGTATTGCCCACCTGCTAGCAGGTATCACACCTGCTGGTGGGTGCAGCTCCCGCACGTTCCCTCGTTGGAGGCTTGAGCACAGATGTGGCTGCTATGGGGTTCCCCGTAATACTATAATGACAATAAAAAAGGCCTGAAAGGCCATCCTGTCCAGATTTGACACGTAAAGAAGTAGCCTTAAAAAAAAGGGATAATTTGTGAAATACCCCTATAAGTTGAGATATATGCCAAAATGCCCCTAAAAGATGAGGGTACAGCGGAATGCCCTTTTGGGCCTAATTCTTTGTGTTTCGCCCCTGTCAGGCCCATGTGCAAATTTCCACCGCATCGTTGGGGCCTGGGCCTGCACCCTGTTATACCCGGTTTGCCCTCCATATCGGATGGGCAACTTTGCGCAATACCCAGGCCCGTAGGGCCATTTTGCCTCCATGTTCGGCATGGGGCAGTTTGCCTTGGCAGCTTCATTCAGTCCTCCCTGGTGAGGTTCCCCATCCTCCTATGCCAGGTCACCATCTCTGAAATCCTCCTGCTCGCCACTCCAAGAACTCTCTCTCTTCTCTCTCTCTCTCTCTCTCTCTCTCTCACACACACACACACACACACACACACAAAAAAAAAAAGAAAAAAAAAGAAAAAAAAAAGAAGGGAAGTAAAAAACAGTGCCCGTGTATATTTCCATATTCTAGTGGAAGATTCATTCCGATTTTGCTCATCTTATTTATGAAAGTAGCCTCTCTCTATCTCTCTGCGTGCATGGCTGGAAAACACACTCTCTCTCTCTCTCTCTCTCTCTCTCTCTCTCTCTCTCTCTCTCTCTCTCTCTGTGACACACACACAAGTACATGTAGTAGTGTATATTTCCATGTTCTAGAGGCAGATTCATTTGATCTCTCTCTCTCTCTCTCTCTCTCTCTCTCTCTCTCTCTCTGACAC